GAGAAAGGTGCATTCTGTGAGCGCCAATTGTAAAGATCATTGGTGGCAAATGGCCAGTAATAAAAGGGCTGATTGCCCTCTCTGTCTGGGGGGCCCTGCCGGCCAGAGGGGGAGGACAATGGTGTCAGGCTGGGGGCTGCCCCCCTCTGGCTCCATGTGGCCTGTGCCTGTGGAGGCAATGGTGGTTCCTCAGGGTTAGGAGGCAGGGCCTGCACTTGTGGCACCATTGGCGGGGTGCCCGTCTGCGAGGAGTAGGGTGGGGGACAGATGTCATTCTCCTCCATGCCTCCCTGGAGAATGAGTTTCTCTTCCATCTTTGGTCTGTGAGGGAGGACCTGCAGAGGTGGAGGGGGAGAAGTTGGATTAGTCGGGGGAAGGAAGGACTTGACCCAGGTGGGGGGGCATCGGGTCATTTGATGAGGCCTCACCAGGTTACCATGTATGGGATTTGGTCCTGGTGGCCCATCCATGGGTGGAAGATGTGGTCCTCTACCCTGGAAATAAAACTCTGGTTAAAAGTCCCTTCAGGGGGCCATCCAACATTGAAGGAGGGCCAATCAACCGAACATAATGTTGTCTATTTCTTTTTCTTTATATCTACACTATTGTTATGGGCAATTGTCTTAATGTCCCCCCCAGTGGACTAGTGTAAGTTCTAGAGGAGAAGATGGGGTGTTGCCCATAGTATTTATCAGTCCTGTCCATTTTGTCAACTGGTCCTGGTGGCCCGTCCATGGGCAGAAGTTGTGGTCCTCTACCCTGGAAATAAAACTCAGGTTAAAAGTCCCTTCAGGGGGCCATCCAACATTGAAGGAAGGCCAATCAACCGAACATAATGTTGTCTATTTCTTTTTCTTTATATCTACACTATTGTTATGGGCAATTGTCTTAACGTCCCCCCCAGTGGACTAGTGTAAGTTCTAGAGGAGAAGATGGGGTGTTGCCCATAGTATTTATCAGTCCCGTAAGTTTCATCAACAAAGAAATTAGAACGAAGATCATAAGACACAAGAATGACACAGATAGACAGAGGGCCCAAAATAAACTACTGCAGCTTTCAGATGGTCTGGACTCTTAGCGTGTGCATTCCCTGTGCCAAAGACCGTACGGATAGGATGCACATGTCCCAACAGGGTCACGAGGTCCTCTGAGGTTTCAGATGGACTAGTGTCCTGGTGGGGTGTCCGATGAGGAACACCCACCCTGACGAGGATGGGGACGTCTCCTGAATCCTCCAGGTCACCTCACTAGTGTTTCAGCGACAAAGAAAAACTGAGATCAGATGGCCACGACCAAAGTGAAAGCATAGAGAAGACAGGCACACACACACACACAGTTGTACAAAAACTTACCTGGCCGGTTGATCACAAACCTTTTGGGGTCGGTTCCTCTTGGGGGGTCTCTGGGGGGATCCCAGACGAGCCCCCAAATGTTGTACCTCATCCACTGGACCCCAAAAAGACCACCGAGGACCCAACACACCAAAATGCAAAAGCAAAGGTTTATGGTTTGTTCAGGCTTAAGCTCAGGCTCTCAGACCTCACCAACTCAACGGATCCGTGCTGAGAGCCCAGAGTAAGGGAGAGTGGAGCCTTTTATAGGT